GGTTAAGGGAAATTTATAAGAAGCTGGATATTTTGTTAAGGAATTTATGGTACTTTATTATACACAACAAAAACTCGCATCCTTTGTCTACCCTTTTATAGTCCGATTGTCTTTGTTTTTTTTATTGTTGTTGCTTGTTGGGATCTGGGTAGACTTTTAACTATATTCTAAATCCCCAACTCGTAACTATATATATATATATATATATATATATATATATATATATATATATATATATATATATATATATATATATATATATATATGATAACTTGAGCAATACTTCTCTACCTTGCTGTACAGTAGTTTTTTGCACACATATATATATATATATATATATATATATATATATATATATATATATATATATATATATATATATATATATATATATATACACGGTATATGTGTGCGTGTGCGTATCTACAGTATACGAGCGATTTGCGTATACAACTCCTTTGTCCTAGAACTGACAATAGGTTCGCCCTCACGTGAACAACTCTACGGGCCTTTTACTCCATGTTTTGTTGGGGGAGGTGGGGGTGAAGGGGGAGCGATACCCATATATACGGCTCCCCTACCCCCCAGCCCCTCAACACTAGTACTCAACCCTTATTGAGTATCACCAAAAAGAAACTTAAGTGATTTTAAGATTGCTAACTAGAATAAAGATGGCGCCCAAAGCGTTCTGATACTACACTGCCATAAGCAGCTAATATTATCATAGTATTTACAATTCTAAGGAAATACTCTTACGAGTTAATCTACTAGAATCTATGGGTGCGAAGGAGGACATGGGTGTGGAGGATAAAATGGGTGTGGAGGAGGACATGGGTATGGAGGAGGGCATGGGTGTGGAGGAGGGCATGGGTGTGGAGGAGGACATGGGTGTAAAGGAGGCCATGTGTGTGGAGGAGGGCATGGGTGTGGAGGAGGGCATGGGTGGAGGAGGACATGGGTGTAAAGGCCAGGAGGACATGGGTGTGGCATGGGTGTGGAGGAGGACATGGTGTGGTGGAGGAAATGGGTGTGGGAGGAGGGCATGGTGTGGAGGAGGACATGGGTGTGGAGAGGGACATGGGTGTGGGGAGGACCATGTGTGTGGAGGAGGCATGGGTGTGGAGGATAAAATGGGTGTGTGATGGGAGGAGGACATGGGTGTAAAGGAGGATGTGTGGAGGAGGGCATGGGTGTGTGGAGGAGGGATGGGTGTGGAGGGAGGGCATGGGTGGTGGGTGGAGGCATGGGTGTGGGATGGGTGGAGGAGGGCATGGAGGAGGACGGAGTGGGAGGATATGGGTGTGGAGGAGGACATGGGTGTGGAGGAAGGCATGGGTGTGGAGGATAAAATGGATGGAGGAGGACATGGGTGTAAGGAGGCCATGGGTGTGGAGGAGGACATGGGTGTGGAGGAGGGCATGGGTGTAAAGGAGGTCATGTGTCTGGAGGAGGACATGGGCGTGGAGGATAAAATGGGTGTGTGGAGGAGGACATGGGTGTGGTGGAGGGCATGGATGTGGAGGAGGACATGGGTGTAAGGAGGCCATGTGGAGGAGGACATGGGTGTGGAGGAGGGCATGGGTGTGGAGGGGAGGGCAGGTGTGGAGGAGGACATGGGTGTGGAGGAGGGCATGGGTGTGGAGGAGGGCATGGGTGTGGGAGGAGGACTGTGGAGGAGGATGTGGAGGAGGAGGAGGGGCTGTGGGAGGGAGGACATGGGTAAGGAGGCATGGGTGTGGAGGAGGACATGGGTGTGTGGAGGAGGGCATGGGTGTAAAGGAGGTGTGTGGTGGAGAGGACATGGGCGTGGAGGATAAAATGGGTGTGGAGGAGGACATGGTGTGCATGGAGGAGGAGGGGAGGATGTGGAGGAGGACATGGGTGGGGAGGGACATGGTGTGGAGGGGAAGGAGGATGGGTGTGGAGGAGGGCATGGGTGGAGGAGGGCATGGGTGTGGAGGAGGAGGTGTGTGTGGAGGAGGATATGGGTGTGGGAGAAGGACATGGGTGTGGAGGAGGGCATGGGTGTGGAGGAGGGGGGTGTGGAGGAGGACTGTGTGGAGGAGGATATGGAGGATAAAATGGATGTGGTGGAGGACATGGGTGTAAAGGAGGCCATGGGTGTGGAGGACATGGGTGTGGAGGAGGGCATGGGTGTGGAGGGAGGGCATGGGTGTGGAGGGAGGACTGTGTGTGGAGGAGGACATGGGTGTGGAGGAGGGCATGGGTGTGGAGGAGGGTATGGGCGTGGAAGAGGACATGGGAGTGGAGGAGGACATGGGTAAAGGAGGTCATGTGTGGAAGAGGACATGGGCGTGGAGGATAAAGGAGGAGAAATGGGTGTGGAGGGAGGGCATAGGTGTGGAGGAGGGCAGGGTGTGTGGAGGAGGACATGGGTGTAAAGGCCATGTGTGTGGATGAGGACATGGGTGGGGAGGGCATGGGTGTGGAGGAGGGCATGGGTGTGGAGGAGGACTTGGGTGTAAAGGAGGTCATGTGTGTGGAAGAGGACATGGGCGTGGAGGATAGAATGGGTGTGGAGGAGGAAATGGGTGTGGAGGAGGACATAGGTGTGGAGGAGGGCATGGGTGGAGGAGGACATGGGTGTGGAGGATGAGGACAGGAGGGCATGGGTGAGGGAGGAGGGCATGGGTGTGGAGGAGGACTTGTGTGTGGAGGAGGACATGGGTATGGAGGAGGACATGGGTGTGGAGGAGGGCATGGGTGTGGAGGAGGAATTGGGTGTGGAGGATAAAATGGATGTGGAGGAGGAAAATGGGTGTGGAGGAGGAATTGGGTGTGGAGGAGGAAATGAGTGTGGAGACAGGAATGGGTGTGGAAAAGGACATGGGTATGAGGGAGTACTTGGGTGTGGTGGAGGACATGAGTGTGTAGGTGAACATGGGTATGGAGATGGTCATGGGTGTAAGGAAGGACATGTGTTTGAAATAGGATATGGGTGTGGAAGAGGGTATGGGTGTGGAGGAGGGTATGGGTGTGGAGGAGGACATGGGTGTGGAGGAGGACATGAGTGTGGTGGAGGATATGGAAGTGGCGTTGGAAATGGATATTGAGCTTTTCTTGTTACTGATTTGGACATCGAGTGTGGTAGCGGAAATCTGTTTTATGTTGGACATGCGTGTGGGAAGGTTGGTATCTGCAAACAGCACTTTACAGGTTGGTGGACATGGAATCTGTTACGCCTGTGATGGTGGACATGGTTTTAAAGATAAGGTACGTATAATGCCTTTGGACACGGATGCAAAAGTGAGATAAAGAGAATGTGGACATGGGCGTGAAGCTGAACAAGAGTACAAAATCTGGACATGGCAGTACAGGTGGACACTCCTGCAGAATGTGGACATGTATGAGTGTGTAAAGTTTAACACATACATCGAATTAGGATGCAAGTATGGAAGTGGACATAGACAGAATGTGGACATAGGGGTGGAGATGGACATCCCAAATGGAAGTCGGCGTAGGTGAATGCTAATTTTTTAATGTATTCCAGGTTTCCAAAATATGTGAGCTGCTTATGTTGATGTGCTACTGAATACTCAGTAACAATATACACTACTGAAGTGTGTTACTAACATCAGTGAAGAACATGTGTTACTAACATCAGTGAAGAACATGTGTTACTAATATAAGTGAAGAACATGTGTTACTAACATAAGTGAAGAACATGTGTTACTAACATAAGTGAAGAACATGTGTTACTAACATAAGTGAAGAACTTGTGTTACTAACATAAATGAAGAACATGTGTTATTATCATAAGTGAAGTACATGTGTTACTAACATAAGTGAAGAACATGTGTTACTAACATAAGTGAAGAACATGTGTTACTAACATAAGTGAAGAACTTGTGTTACTAACATAAATGAAGAACATGTGTTATTATCATAAGTGAAGTACTTGTGTTACTAACATAAGTGAAGAACTTGTGTTACTAACATAAGTGAAGAACATGTGTTACTAACATAAGTGAAGAACATGTGTTACTAACATAAGTGAAGAACTTGTGTTACTAACATAAGTGAAGTACTTGTGTTACTAACATAAGTGAAGAACTTGTGTTACTAACATAAGTGAAGAACATGTGTTATTATCATAAGTGAAGAACATGTGTTACTAACATAAGTGAAGAACATGTGTTACTAACATAAGTGAAGAACATGTGTTACTAACATAAGTGAAGTACATGTGTTATTATCATAAGTGAAGGACATGTGTTATTAACATAAACATGATGAGCATGTGTACTGTGTATAGTACTAACACGGGGCTGGAAGGATGGTATAACTGTAGGGCGTGTGTGTTACTAAGAGTATTTTAGTACACAAATACAAGTACTGTAAATGATAAGTCTTCAGACCGGTGATGATGAGAGAGTGTAGGAGGAGTCAGGGAGGGAGGGTGAGGCAGGAGCGGCGGTGGGCACGGTGGGAGTCCGGCTTCCTAAGGACAACTGACGCAGGACTTGAGCGCCAGCCATCCTCTGGGACACAAGCTCCGCCCTTCGCTCCTCCCCCTGCCTCGCCCGACCTGTCACGTGTCACCTGCTTGTTCATCTTAACTATGACTCACGCTGTTGAACAATACTTCACGATTCTCTCGACCACATTCATTTGAACGAAACATAATGGTGTTGGTTCTTATAAAATTTTTGGTGTTGATTTTACCTATGTAGCAGATGGGAGTAATTTAGAAACTTGAGTGTAACTTGCGGATATACCATACCCAACCACACAGAGTACAACACTAACTTTGATTTTCTACAATTTGGGCTTGTGAACACTTAGGCCCACCTCAAAGTGTGTATGTAATGCCATCATGACACAGCTGACCTCAGATAAAGGGGAAAAATGACTGTGTGGGTGATGGGTGGCGGGCCGGGCAGGCAGTTGGGCTCCGCCTATGGCTCCACCCCCTGGACCTGGCTGGACCTGGCGGGTATATAGGTGGCCGCCGCGTCAAGTTGGGCAGTGTCATCAAGTCCAAGATGTTAGGAGTATACATATTTAGATGGCTATGCGAGCTGCTGGAGGTGGTGGTCCTCCAGTACGTTTGTCACGTGTTGGTCTTCATCACAGTGCTGCTGGGGACCCGCTATTACCTGGGCTCTCACGCCCATCCCCTCCCACCTGGCCCTTGGGGGGTCCCTGTCCTGGGATACCTTCCTTTCCTCAATAAGGATATTCACATTGCCTTCATGAACCTTGCCAGGAAGTTCGGTTCCGTATACCGTCTCAGCTTCGGGAACAAAATGCTCGTGGTCCTCACCGACCCTAAGATCATCCGTGACGCCTTCAAGAGGGAGGAATTTCACGCACGCCCGTCCAGCGCTCTCTATGACATGTTCGACGGCTATGGTGAGTAAACAGCTGCCTTAAGCAAGTCCTCTTGTGTCTCACATCAACACCATTATCGAACCTACATAAAAAACCTACTTTTAATCCTTCACTTTCGCTTACTAAACATTGTCAATATTATGTTCGTAATAATACATGTTTTCACATTTTTTTCTCATTTTCTGAAAAATTCAAAAGTTTTAGAAATTCCTGCCATTTGATTAACAAAATTATCTAGAAAGTTGTCCTGAGGCGCTTTGCTCTTGTTTGTAGGTCATACTCCCTCTACAGCCTCTAACCTCAAGTCAATTCCTTGTTAATGCGGCCAAACTTGTGTCTATTGTTTCAGATTAAAATTAGCAGACATTCAGATTTAATATATAAATAAACAAACTCAGGATGAGAAGTGTTTATATAAGGGTGAGACAGAGGAGAGTCATAGTGGAGGTTGGTGTGGGGTGGCTGAGAGTCGTGGGACGGTGACGCAATGGAAGCGAAATGCAGCCAGCTTGTGGTGGTGTGTGGCCCAGGTCCCCTACCAGACTCTACCCAAACACTTGTCAAGAAGACACCGCCTCATAATATTATTTCTACATAGTAATACAGCCATTAAATTAGGTTCACTAACACTAGGAAACATCTTCCCTGTATCATAAATAAGAAGGTCGGGTTGCGCCCTTACAGGATCGGGTGAAAGTGCCAAACGAACAGGCACCATTTCGTTCACTTAAAAGTGAGAGTGACCTTCACCTCCGATTCCTTGCTCTGATGCAGGAAGAAACAATATTTGCCGACTCATACATTAGTTGAAAATACAAAATACATGATGGGAATCAAATATTGTTACCAGAGAACAACATGATAAGGAAATAGCTTTGGTATTGTCAAACCGTAAAGAGCAAGAGGCCAAAGTCGAGGTCTGAGGTGAGGTGCGTCCGAACATTCATTTTAAGAGCCGGTTTAACAACATCTTACTGGATAAACTTGAACTCGAGGGTCATACCAACACTGCATTTTACTATTAAATAATTCGTTATATATATATATATATATATATATATATATATATATATATATATATATATATATATATATATATATATATATATATATATATATATATATATATATATATATATATATATATATATATATATATATATGTATATATATCATGTATCTATGTGATATAAATATATAATTGACCATGGCAATACTACCTGTGTGGAATAATTTTGACTAACTTTATGCATGTTTTGGCTTCCAGGTCTGGTCAACACCTCTGGAGTAACCTGGCGGGACCAGAGAAGGTTCCTACACGAGCGCCTCCGAGCCCTTGGCATGAAGACCACCGGACCAGGTCGTGAGCAGATGGAAGTCAGGATTATGGTGAGTTACAATCGAGTTTCCTGTACATTCTGATATTTTAATTTTTGTTTGTACAAAGCAGCTACTGAATAATTTTAAGGGAAATTTTAACATGTTTTATATCATTAGACTTCAAATAACGTCATAATGATCTTTAGTTATTTAGTAAAGAAGATATGTTTAATTATTCTAATATTCTACTTGTTCTTTTCCCCCACAGAGTGAGGTGGAGTGTTTGCTGCAGTGTCTGGCCACAGGCAAGGGCAAGGCTATGGAGGTGGGCGAGCTGCTCTGTAATGCCTCTACTAATGTCATGTGTTCCCTCCTCATGTCAGTCCGTTTCCGCCCCAACAATCCCAACTTCCTTCGCTTCATGGAACTTCATGATGAAGGCTTCAAGCTGTTTCTCAAGTGTGACATCACGAGTTACCTCCCCGTCTGCAAGTATTTCCCTTCAGTCAATGAGAACTTCCAGAAACTGATCCAGAGCCGAGATGAGTCTGGCGAGATGATCCGGAATATCATCAAGGAGAGGCGAGAGACTTTTGACCCCAGCCACACCGGAGACATCCTTGACTGTTATCTCCTAGAAGAACACCGAGCCAAGGAGGAAGGAAGAGTCCTATTTGAAGGAAAAGATTTTGGTGAGTTGATGTTCATTGTTTCGTGTTTGTCTGTCACGTTTTACCACATAATTCTTGCCTACAAGTGGAGTTAAACAGAGACGTGATCTTCAACATGTATTTGATATATTTCATTTCATACATAAGGTTTTAAGGGAAACTTTACATGATATATTATTTCTGTTCATTTTACTCTGTCAGGTAGAAATATTATTTGGTATAAATCGCCGTGAAAATATTACTCATTTAATGTTCTTTATGTAGGTTGTGACTCCTATATTAACGTACTCACGGTTTTTATTTACAGACCGACAACTGGTACAGGTAATGGCTGACATGTTCAGTGCCGGAGAGGAGACGGTCAAGACATGTTTGTTGTGGGCTCTCGTGTATTTGCTGCGTCACCCAAAAGTCATGCACAAGGTTCAGGATGAGCTGGATGCTGTGGTGGGCCGCTCTCGCATGCCAATTCTCGACGACCAGCAGCACTTGCCCTACACAGAGGCGACCCTGTGTGAGGTCCTTCGTCGCTCCACTGTAGTTCCTCTGGGGACTTCCCACGCAACCACCAGGGATACTACACTAGGAGGCTACACCATCCCTAAGGGAGCCACCGTCATTCCCCTCATTTATGCTTGTCATATGGATTCACAGCTGTGGGAAGACCCGGAGAGGTTTGAACCAGCCAGGTTTATAGATGCAGAAGGACGAGTGAAGAAACCAGAGCAGTTTATTCCCTTTGGCGTTGGACGACGTATGTGTCTCGGTAACGTCCTCGCTCGAAGTGAACTTTTCCTCTTCTTCACTTCCATCCTTCACGTCTTTAACTTGGCGAAGCCAGAAGATGAGCCCCTACCCAGCATGGAAGGAAACCTCGCCACTACTTATACACCAAAGCCATTTAAGGTAAGAAGTACTTCCAACTACAATTAATGCTATTATATACGTCACTATAAAATTCAAACGAAAGGCTATGTAATCTGCAAAAAAACAAGTTTTTAAATAAGATAGCGCCTATTATCTTTGACTTATCTGGCAAACACAAAATTTCAGCCCCGTAAGACATCCTAACTGAAAGCTAAAAAGATTATTATTACCACTGAGTCAATTCACAGATAAATAGGTAAACAAATCTATTTGGGTTGTAACGTTTTATTTCTTTTACTTACAGTTGTCGTTCATCCCTCGTGAGGTGTCAAAGATCGGTAACATTGACATGCAGTCCCATGAGCTAAGAACAGCAGGACTTTAAGGGAGGTACTTCCTCCCTATGACTTCACAACACAACACACACAAAAGGCCCTGGACTCTGTTACCCCCTGACAGTTCCAACACATCTAGTGACTCCACCTCCGTCTAGCAATAACCCCCCCCCCCCTCCTCAACGAAATATTCGGTGAAGTGGAGTGGAGGAAGCTTGGAGGTTCTGGAGGCCAAGTTAGTGTGGACTGAGAAGTAGCTCAAGTGAAAATTTTGGTGTGAAAGTCAAGAGGAAGAGTGAGAGAGGTTGTCGAGGCTGGCCCCCCACCCACCCTCCGCCTTATAAAAGCAGGAAGTCCCACCAAAGACAGCGTGCCGAGTCCCTCCTAAGATCCGGCGGCTTATCTGTGATATGTTTGTAGTAGTATAATATAGTAGTTTGTTGTGTAAAGTACATTAGGTTCTTTGTCTCTTTGCTGTAGTATAGGATTTTCTTTAATGGAGTCTCAGGCGTAAAGATGTTCTTTCAGTTAATTGATGGTAAAGTTATAACCGGGTTAGATTTCTTTAGCTCGATAAGTCAGGTGAGTTGAGTCAGTGTCATGTGACGCACCACGCTTCAAGCTGTGCATGCACAAAGAGCACACGCTATTGCTGTGGACAGTAAATGTAAACTTGTAAATGATAAAAAATTAGTAGTCGATTGTTAACTAGCCAAGTAAGCCTTAAGTTAAACTGAACGTAAGAGCAGTCTGTCTGTCACTGCTTGTTCCTGCTCAATACTGTGCTCAAGTAATTTCTAAGTAGATTTTATATGTGGCCTCACTAGACGGGGCTTGTAAGGAGAATAGCGTTTCTTAATTATTAAAATATAGAATGTTTCCAAGCTTTCAGTAAACCCTTTAGTGTTTGCTCATTCTCTGTGTACACTACTGTGTGTCATTAAGAATATTATACTTCACCAAAGTAATTACAAGAAAATTCCACACTCAGATAAACTAACAAGAAAATTGGTAAAAAAGAAATATTTATATTATCACTGACAGAAGATAAAGTTTTAACCAGATAATAAACTTAACTTAATCGTTAAGTACTATAAGTTAACGATTGCGTTAAGCTAACTTAACTAGTTAACTTAAAATACTGGTTAACTTAACTTAATCGAAATTTTATCAAATTAATCGATTAACCGCGGTTAATTATCGATTAACTACTTATAAAAATAACAATATTAAAATTAAACACACCAACCCTTTCACCCAGTGAGTGAGCATCCATATCGTTGGTTTTCCTGTACAGTACACGTTAGTTCGTACTTGTAACTAACCAGACTGGGGTTGCCTGTCACCTCTCAGTTACTTAGTTGTTGTTGCAATGTCCAATTCAGGCATACACATCGGGCAATTAATTAACGTGATCGTTAACTTCTACACGATTAAGTTACGTAGTTGACTTTTAAAATACTGGCTAACTTAACTTATTCAGAGCAAAATTAAATTAACTTAACTAGTTAAATTTGAAAGTTAATGGAACAAAACGATTCTCTCAAACCTTTCTATCAACACGTAATCAGTGTCTCCCACCCCTCACACGAACTGCTAACAGCCACACAAAGTAAGGTGAGCAACAAAACACATACACAAACATACACACACACACACACACACACACACACACACACACACACACACACACACACACACACACACACCCTTCACTCTCAATAGCTCACACACCTAACCCAACCATCAACAAACTGAAAAAAAGTCAAACAAGACAACTTAATACCACAGAATAGCAACAGACATCTTTCCTCTCTACCCCAAGATATTTCCCCTACATTATAACATTATAAAACAAAGTCTTAACTAAGGAATCAACAAATTATCTCTCATTTTACTCATTTTATCCCATTAGCTGGGTGAATGAGTGAGCGAGTGAGTGACACTGTAGCTTCATATCACCTTTTTTCTGGTAAGAAAAACAAATAAAATCATAATTATTGTTTTTTATAGTCGAGTAATGTATTGCTTTCCTTGTACACCACTACTACTGTCGCTATTGTCGCCATTACTACTATCATCATCATCGCTACTGTCGCCATTACTACAATCACCACAACCACTACTGTCACCATCACTACTATCACCATAACCACTACTGTCACCACCACTACTATCACCACCACCACTACTGTCACCATCACTACTATCACCATCCCCACTGTTGTCACCATCACTACTAACACCATCACTACCATCACCACCACCACCACTACTGTTACCATCACTACAATCACCACCACCACTATTACCACTACTGTTACCATCACTACAATCACCACCACCACTATTATCACCACCACCACTACTATCACCAGCACACTACTATCACCACCATCACTACTGTCACCATCTATACTATCACTACCAGCACTACTATCACCATCACTGCTATCACCACCACCACTTCTGTCACCATCACTACTAACACCATCACTACCATGACCACCACCACCACTATTGTTACCATCACTAAAATTACCACCATCACTATTATCACCACCATCACTACTGTCACCATCACTACTATCACCATCACCACTACTGTCACCATCTACTTTGCTGTCAGTCGGAATCGAGTATGACGATCATCCAGCTATGTTACAGTGATATGGGTTATTAGGGATGCCACCTAGGTTGGTGTGTTTTAAGGGGACTGAAGAGACCGATACGGGACCGGCAAGGTCGTTAGCAGTAGTTGCACATGTGGATGGCTCCATCTAATGCGGGAAAGGCGGCTGCAGCGCCTTTCCAGCACTGGCCCTTGTCCACCTCGGTTTACAGTCGGTGTGAGCCGAGATACTGAAAGTGGGTAACATTAGAGAGGGTAGTACCGTTAAGCCGGATAGATAGTGGAGGTGTGGTTGAACCAGGGGCAGGCTGAAAGGGAATCTGAGTCTCACGCACATTCACTTCAAGGCCGAAGTGTGCATATGCAGCTGCATAGTTGTTCAGGATCTCCTGCGGGTCGCGTTCAGTGTGAGCGAAAAGAGTGAGGTCGTCTGCATACTGAAGTCCAGTAATGGAAGCTGAGTCGTCTTATTTTGAAAAGATCCTTCATCCGGTACTCTATGTCCACCCTACCTGCTAAATTGGCACTAAAACGAGTAAGGAAGGCAGCCAATAAAATGGAAAAGATAGTTGGCGCCAGTACACATCCTTGTTTTACCCCCTGTTGCATGGGGAACAATTCAGACTGGATGCCATTGTGCAGGACACTGCCGTTCATGCCATCGTGGAGTTAACTCACAATGGTGATGAATTTTGGTGGGCAGCCAAACCGGCTGAGGGTCCACTAGAGGACTTCCCTTTTGAATGAGTCGAAGGCCTTGGTGAGGCCAATAAATGCCATGTACAGGTCACGACGCTATTCTCTGCAATTTTCCTGTATCTGGCAGGCAGCAAAGATCATGCCAATGGTGCCACGAGATGGTCTAAAGCCACGTTGAGATTCTGGGAGGACTCGGGCGATAATCTTGGCAGCTACGGACAGCAGCGAGATCGTGCAGTAGTTGCCACAGTCTGACCAGTCTCCCTTGTTCTTACAAATATTGATGATGGAGGCGTTTTTAAGAGCTTGGGGGGGTGGGGGGATTTCCTCTTTTTCCCATATATTCTCTAGGAGAGAGTGGAGACAGCTGGTAACCAGAGGCCCTCGGCTGGGATTCCATCTGGCCATGAGGCTTTGTTATTTTTCGTCTGTTTGATGGTAGTAGCTACCTCATTCATGGATGGAGGATAGGTGAGATGGGTAAGCTCTGGATGCTAAGGAACCTGCTGGGTAGTCAGGGCATCCACATCGGTGTTTCAGTTGAGTAGCAAATGGTAGTGCCATTTCCAGCTCTGACAGATGCCTTCTTCGTCTTTAAGGTGGGAGTTACCGTCAGATGAGCGGAGGGGGGCTGTGCCAAGAGTGATTGGCTCATATTTTTTTTTGGTGGAACTGAAAAATTCGTGCATCTTGTGTTGATCTGCAAGTTTTTGCGTTTCACGTGCTTTTATTTTTAAACCGGTCATTCTTTAATTTGCGAAGTTTAGGGTGGGCTGCCGCCGCCTTCTCGTGGAAGCTATCAACTTTGGTCCAAGGCTGAGGGTTGTTCTGCCAGTCAGTTAAGGCAGCACGCTTATCATCGACGAGTACATTGATTTCCGGGTCATTTCATAAAACCAGTCCTGGTGTATTGTTTCGATCTGGCCAACGGTCTTTCTGCAAGTTTTTGTCATGGCAGTGTCGAGAATACCCCATTCGAGACTTTGATTTGGGTTGTTTGTTGTCGGGTTGTGTATCAGCCCATGTTTGAGCTGCTCTCTAAAGGCACGTGTACTACTGGATCCTTCAAACGCTTAGAGTTAAAACCTCTTCTATAGGCTTGTTGCCTTTGCCGTTTCGGGGCGATGTAACGTGCCAGCTCGGCTCTGACAAGCTGATGAACAGTGTCGCAGTGGTCTGAGCCACACATATCTTGGGTGATGAGGACAACTCGGCCATCTCTTTCTCTGACAATGATGTAGTCAATGAGATGCCAGTGTTTGGATCGTGGGTGTCGCCACAAACACTTGAACTTGTCGGCCTGCCTAAACAAGGTATTGGTGATAGTGAGGTTGTGTGCACAATACTTGGGATTACATTTGCCTAGTCCATTTTTCCCTATGATTCCCTGGCAAATTTCAGCTTCTCTCCCAACTCCGGGATTGGAGTCATCTAGGAACACAACCTTATTTTCTCTGGGGATAGAGATTAGTACTCTGTCAAGGTCGGTTTAAAAGGCCTCCTTGACGTCATCCTCTGTATCCAGTGTTGGCGCATATGCTTTAATGAAAAAGGCATGCCGTGAGTAATTTAGTGGGAGTCTGAGCATCATGAGGCACTCGTTGATCGCAACAGGCATTTTAGTTAGCCTGTGTAGTATGCGTTGGCGGATGGCAAAGCCAACTTCATAAATGCAGTTTCTCTCCACAGCAGGCTTATCCTTCCAGAAGAAGGTATAGTTAGACCCCGTTCTGTGAGTCTACCCTCGTCTGGGAGCTGGGACTCACTTCTGGCTGCAAGGTAGTGCTGTTCATTTTTCAGGACGCTCATTTGTGCCGGTATCCAGAAGGGTACTGGCATCCCTACAGCGACCATAAGAGGTTGAATAATTTGTTTTCGTTTTGATTTGTTATAATTTTGTTTTCGACCACATAAGGATGACCTTACTGGGTGCGGTTGCCCAGTCAGGTTGGTTCTTTAGGCAGGCTATGTTCAGGGCACCTTTTCATGCCCCCTCCCCATGTGGGGTGAGCAGATTGGCTCCTCGAAAGAACTGATCAGTCGCACAGACAAGACCGTATTGCATTGCTGCCTAGATCCCAGTGCATAGACGACCATCTTATCTATGCCGCCCATGTGCAGAGTTTGATTAGAGACTCCCGGCAGTCATCTCTGCCTGTTCCCGTAGCCACTCGTCCGTCGGGGGGTATAGGGGTTTTGATGATGATAACGAGTATGATGACCTAGATGACGGCTGAGCGTGAGTTGATTTATGTGGTGTGCCAAGAGCGCAGTCTGCAACGAAACAGCTTGGGTCTCCTTTTTTATTAATCCATTGGTGCAAGTGTTGCAACGACTGGAGAGACGGAGATTTGCAATGGTCTGCTGATAACCCAGTTTGTTGGGTTTCCCCTTAGTAGCCTGTCCATCATGCATTGCCATCGTCAGCCGGTGTAGTCGTTGGGTTCCTATGGTGGTCACCTCTTCCGCCTATATCGCCGCTGGGGTCTTGTTGGAGTTCTGTAAGCATGTCTGCTTGATGCCGGGCTCCACCGCAGTCTTTTCGTTT